GAGAGAGAGAGAGAGAGAGAGAGAGATTTGAACATGACCCTTGGGATTCAATTCTTAATTTTTACCAACCAATTTGAACATGACTCTTGGGATTCAATTCTTAATTTTTTACCAATCAATTTGAACATGACTCTTGGGATTCAATTCTTATTTTTTTACCAATCAATTTGAACATGACTCTTGGGATTCAATTCTTAAAAACATTAATATCATTGTATTACATAAAAACGAGAAACTAATAAAAATAAAGATGCTTTTACTTAATTATTTATTATATTTGAGCATGACTTTGTTATTTATATAAATGGTATTCAAAGAACATTATAATATACTTAATTCAATATTTTTAGTCAAAGGGTAAAGTAGTAATTTCTGATGATCCAAACATTATCCAGGATTTGTCTAACAAGTTTTGTTTTGATACAATTATTATACATATATGTATATAAATACATAGTGTATGTGTCTGTGTGTTAATAATTTAAGAATATCGTTAATCTTGGTCCGCAAATTGAAAAATCCATCATCACACTACCAAGTGCCAACCCGGCTTCCAACCCTGCTGCTAGAAACCCTATTTTTTCTAACTTCCTCTGATCTCTTCGTTGATACTCATCCCTTACAATCGTTCCCAACCTGCCATTTGGAGGAGAATAAGACTAGGAATTCAAAGCAAAAGGGGTGGAGGTACAACTTCCTAGGCATAATGTACAAGTCTTACAATATTTTCTTCATCAGCAAAAAAGGAGTAATTGCAGTCGCATAGGGCACAATGATAGGAGAAGGCAAATGAGAACCAAAGTGAAAGAAGTATAGTAGACGAGCTTCCAATGAGTTTTGAATTCTGGAGTATTGTGTTGATTATGATATAAATAAGGGGAATAGAGAATAAAAAGGGTAAAAATTATAATCCTATTATGACAGTAAGAGAGAGGAATATAGCTGACCGAATTTGATCTGGTAAGAAGGCTGGTAAGAGCCTTTCCACAATAAGTGACTAGTAAACATACCATTTCTTATTGTGGGTAAGAACTTCTTATTCAATAAGAGTCAATAAGAAGCAAACAATTAAACAACCCCTATATATTAACATTTAAAACCGTAGAAAAATTTGGTGCATATAGTTTTGTGTGATAGCAAGCTTAAGGCAATTCAACGATGGTTCATGATATCAACCGCATAACTTGTGATTGACTCGTCATTTGATCACTGATAATATTTATAACTTATTGTTTCTTAGTTTGTTAGAATTTTCTTCTATGTGTATTAGTTTATATTTCAGGAATGAAGATAGAAACAAAAATGGGAGGAAGCTATAAAAGAAGGTCGGTTTGCTGGCACGTTCAACGCTAACAAGGAAACCCCTAAATAAGGTATGAAATGCTTTCCCATGCTACAATTATAACACACAAACGCACACACATAAACTCCAAAAAAAATTCATGATGTTATCAATTATAGAAGGAACAAACCGAGAATAGGGGGATTCTCATTAATGATAGATGGACAAAAGATCCAGGTGAGGTGAAAAAAAGAGTTCCATTCTTTTTTGCAAACAGTTTGGGAGTCCAAAATTGGTTTAAATGCAGATTATATATGGACGTCCTGAAAAGATTATCGAGCGTAGAAATTGATTTTCTCAACAATGTGGTCAATGAGGAAGAAATAAGGAGGGCAATATGGGAATGTTTAAATGAGAAATTTGCAGGTCTGGATAGGATTTCTTAAATCCTTTTGGCCTATCATCAACAGTGAGGTTGGTGGGGAAATTTTGGAATTCTTTAGTTCCAAATGGCTTCCAAACGAGTGCAATCACTCATTCATTTGTCTTGTTCCAAAGTCTGCGAATCCTTTGACTTGAGTCATCATATCATCTACCTTAGATTTACATCAAGAAAAGAAGCTCGTGGATGTGTTGAAGTTACACACGAAAGCAATGGGATGGACCATTGCTGACCTTAAAGGGATTAGTATTTCTATTTGTCAACACAAGATCTTCCTAGATGATAAAAACTTCACATCCGTAGAGTCATAGAGTCACAAAGAAGGTTAAACCCTGTAATGAAAGAGGTAGTGAAAAAGGAAATTTTGAAATGGTTAGATCATGTGAGAATCATTTTCCCAATAGCGGATAGTTCTTGGGTTAGTCCAGCCCAGTGTGTTCCAAAGAAGGGAGGGTTTACCGTCATTACCAATGATAAAATACTGAATATGGTTTTACACATTGAAATATTTATTATGCAAGATTTACCATATTGTATAGTTGATGAATTTAGGCTATACATGGCTATTTGAGGTGTGTGGAGTTGCACAGCAGGTGCAGGGTACCTTGAGATAGTATTATCTCCTGGGAGTTGTAATTTGTGTGCCTTGAATATGTTTCTCAAGCATATCAGATAGGTTCTTTTAAGGGCCTGAATATTATGTTATATTGTCACAAAGGGAATGTGACAAGGTTGCTACAAGTGTTGTGTAATATTCGTGGGATGAGAATGTGCTTCAATGTGGTTTTGTATTATATATATTTTCAGTAGTTGGCTTACCCTCTTTCTTTGAATTCACTTGGACCTTTGGTCTATCCCGTGCTTTTCAAAATTAAACCATTTTTAGTGAAGTACCATGTTGAGAGTAGCTCGAAAGAGAAGGGAAAGATGTGATCATTTTGGTGTCAGATAATTGATTTAGTTTCTTTATCTGTAGTCCGTAATAATTCTCAGCTGTAGACTTAATGTTTGTGTTGCAAACATTTGGGATGAGTCGGATGATACATATTGTTGACCCTACAACTTTGGCTTTCATTAATTTAGTTTTGGGTTGTTATAATATATATTTTATTTAAAAATATAAAATATTTTTAATAATAAAAAATAAAATCCAAAAATGAGTCACGAAATTGAAGAGTCAAAACGAACCTCTAATAAAAGTCAAAATATTTGGTTAATGAGATTTAATTGCAATGTGTTTGTTAGAAAATATTTACAACTAATGAACATTCCATGAAGGTTCTTTCATTATATATCTTATCCGTACAACATTAAACCCTTAATTTTACCTCATTTAATTTTGTAAAATATTTATCAAAATGATGACTTAATTATGATGAGTATTTTACATTTCTTATTATTGTATTTCATGCCTTCAATTAAATCATTATTATTAATGCTTTACTTACATCTTTGTCTATGGTTTTAAATATATATTCAATAATTATAATTATTTAAACTATATTTTAAATATTTAATTATTGATCAACTATTTTTGGTTCCAACAAAACTCCATGACAATTCTAAGTCTTAAATTACAACCTCAGGAAGCATCCTCCTTCCTTTCCTTAATTAGAATTATCAAAAAACATGCAAAATTATCTTGATTAATAGTTAATAAATGTCGTTAATACTTTTCAATAATAATTATAGGCAAGATATCGAGTGTTGCATGCACAACAATGTTTACCATTTTCTTAATTACAGATGTTAAGACCAACTAGTACGCATCTCAACTAATCCCAGGTCAGGACCTTGGAGAATAGTCATGAAAACTCAAGTAGTTTTGCAGGACTTGAACCCAAACCGTGGATCTTTAAGAAAAATCCTTAAAAACTCAAGTTTTATTACCGGTTAAAATAACCTTACAAGCTTAATTGAACTACTTGTACCAATGTGTGTACATAATGTTTGTTCGTTTAATGTGTTATTGTTGCAAAGAGCTTACTATCTTGATTTAAGTCCTCACTGAAGGTGATTAAATTTTTATGCGCGATCAAACATGTTCTTGATGTATATCAGGTGTAACTAATTAAATTTTATTATCCAGATTTGTAACGGTTTGCTTGCAAAAAAATTGAAATGCTACATGTTAAGTGTTTTAACATAAAAAAAACGTTATTTTCGCAGAAATATATTCAGTGTTTGATTTTAGTTTGTAGGAAATCTAAAATAAAACTCAATAAAGACATAATACAAATATACGAGTTTTAGGATCGAATAAATGCACAAGTATTTTGTAACTAGAAGAGTATTCGCCAATACAGCGAGATACATCTTAATTTTAATATTTTATTTTATTATTTATCTCAATCGATGTTATAATATAATCTTATGTGATTTTGAAAAAGCGATGATGTTTTTAATTTTGAATAAAATATAAATTTGAATATATCATAAAAATTTGACAAAAATATATCAAATTAACTATTTAAAATTACTCATATTTTGTGTAATTTTTTAATTCAATTTTTTATTACAATTTAGTTTAAGTTCAATAATGAAGTAATTTATATTTGGTTTAATAATATAATTTTCTTATACAGATAATATCTAATTATTTTGTTAGAACTTGATAATTATCCTAATTATATTTTAGATTTTTTATATTTTAAAATAAAATGTTTATCCTCTATTTGATTATGTTTATCCGCATTTAGTTATACAAATTCAAACATCGAGCTTTAATAAGTTGTACTTATACATAATTAATTACTTATAATCTTGAATTTTAAGTAAAATGCATCAGTACTTTATGCATAAAAAATGGTTTTTAAAAGTTTTTGTCAAATGTTTTATAACATAGTATAGATAATTACGAAATAAAAGTATAGAATTTCATGCAATAAATACAAAATATATTATTATATTATTATATTTATTTGTGACACAATTTTAATATGAGAAATTTAATTAATAAAGAAAACATGGAATGGAATAGTCATGTATTCTCTTTAATTTCCATATTTGCTTCATACGTGGTTGGCTCACGCATACAATTACAAGCTGCTGACTTCATTTTGAAAGTTGAATCTCTCGATCGACTCTAAATGTTTCAACAGCCACATATATATATATATATATATATATACACACATGCATGCCTATATATACCACCATCTCCTATGCTTTCTTCTTCACTGCCTTGTGAGAAAACCCCCCAGAGCTGCTTAAAATTTTTCCCACAAGAAACACTCGATTGATCAAGATAAACACACACAAAAAAACACACACAGTATGGTGATCTTGAGAGAAAAGCAAACCCTTTTGTCAAAGATTGCAACAAGTGATGAACATGGAGAGAATTCACCTTACTTTGAGGGATGGAAAGCTTATGATCAAGATCCATTTCATCCTACTCAAAACCCTAATGGTGTTATCCAAATGGGTTTGGCAGAAAACCAGGTTAGTTTTTATTTGTTATTTTGGGGTATGATTTATTTTTCAAGCATGCATACATGAAAAGAGTATGAAAATTTATGACACCCTTTAGAAGTTCGACGATAATTCATTTCTTTTGCAGCTCTCGCACGATTTGATTGAGAAATGGATCGTGGAGAACCCGAAATCCTCGATTTGCACCAATGAAGGAGTTGATCTATTTAAAGATACAGCAAATTTTCAAGATTATCATGGCATGTATGAGTTCCGAAAGGTAATGAATTACCATACATACACACACACACATATATATATATATAAAGAGGTTGGTTATTATACAACCATTGACATTTGTGCAACCAATACATCCCAATCTCAACCGTCCATTTCATTTGATGAATATGTGATTTCATAGAAGTTTTGATTGTTTCCTAATATAAAGTATTAATTATAATTAATGAACTTTATTCATATTCCATAAATATTCAAATCAWAATAAATGAACTCCCATCATTTCTATAAATATCTCAATTAATTGGGTTGCAAGGGTTGTACAAATACACAAGGTTGTAAAAGAAATATACCCTATATATATATATATATATATGGGTTTAATCAATTGAGAACTCGATAGTTTATGATAACCATGAGATTCAATGTGAACCAATCATTTAAAATAATTAATCTTATTTTTTTTAAAAAGGTAAAAAAAATGAGTACTTTGATATTCTTAATTTGTCTTTAACTAAATAATTTAACAACTCTATCTCTTTCATACTTTTTTGGCTTTTGATTGTTTCCTCATTATTATGTACCGATTATCTGTATAAATCCAACTCGAGACGGGCTATGTCCAATGAAGTGTATCATAATTAATGTGTATTTTTTGAAGTGTATCAAATAGCGTTGCTTTACAAAGACGGTTTCAAACGAGAACAGTAACCAAAACAAGATAACATGAGAACAATCAAATCGCATGTGATTTTATACTAAACTTATATGTAAAATCATGTGATTAAACACACATGATGTAGGTTGCATGCGGGGCCAAGTTGCATGTACATCCTTGCGTTAACCATATTCCGTTATCACACATGTGATTTGAATGTAAAATTATAAGATTTTGAGGTGTGTTTTCAGGCAATAGCAGAGTTTATGGGGAAAGCAAGGGGAAATAGAGTTAGATTTGATCCTGATCGCATAGTGATGGGTGGTGGAGCCACCGGAGCTAGTGAATCTTTGATGTTTTGCTTGGCAAATCCTGGTGATGGATTTCTAGTTCCGTCTCCATATTATCCTGCGTAAGTATACTTTACAGTTTATTAAGATACATCATTCAGCATATTAATTAATTATACAGTCTTAATTTGATTTTCTCCATCTTTAGTTTTTTTTAAATTGAATTTTGCAATAATATTAAACTTACGGGCTGTTTACCAAATTTTTTTATTAAGTCCTGTACGGATAAATTTGTTTCTTCGCTTAAATGAGTGTTGTTGTTTACTTTTTTCTCTGAACTAACATTCTGAATAACATAAATGACCGATTTACCTCCAATATTAATTATTTGAACATCAAAACAAAAAATCATAAAGAGGTCGACGATGAGGTGTCTTATATGAGAATGAGGTGATGCTTTAGATAAGGGGTAAGAGTGTCATTTTTGTGGCTTAATGGGACAATACACCATTTCTATCTGTGCGATTAGGCCATTTTCTGTACGAATAAGCTGTAAGTAAACAACCCAAATGAGTTGTGCGAATATGACAGATATACCTATAAGCCTAATTAAGCCGCAAATAAACAGCCCTTAGAAAACACTAGCTGTAGTATTTGGTAATTCATGCATGTAGTAGTACTTCAATTTTTTTTCCTTCTATAGAACATTGTATGCAATTTGTTATGATCTTGAGCTATAAATCTGGAAAATACAAAAAAAATTGTTATATGAAATAATATTAATTCTTCTAAAAGATTTGTTATAAAATGAATTAGATATATAAAGTCATATATATATATATATATTTATACTATCTTATTAAGTAAATTTAGATAAGTCTTAAAGTCTTAAAATACTAAACAACTAAAATATCTTTTATACTCAATTTTTCACTTTTTCAATCCTTCCTCTCCTCACATACACTCACCCCCTCACATACACTCACCCTCTCACAACTGATTTTTTTTAAATTATAATTTTAAATGTTTCATTTTAAACCTTTATCAAATTAACATGCATAATCGTATATCAATTAAAACATGTTTAAAAAATACATTTTTATTTTAACAAGTTACATCATTATAATCGTCTCGTTAATACCTTCGAAATGAGTCCAATATTGAATAGTTTTTTACTTAATTATATTATTATATATTATATATACTATGAAAAGATATTTTTAATATTTACGATTTATACTTTTATAGTTRTTTATTTATATATATACTATATATTTTGGGGTTAAGCTGTCCAAATTGCACTGTATAATATGTTTTGAATTAATATGTTCTTGGGTTTTTTTTGAAATATATATATATACATGTATTAATTCAACCTTAATCTGAGTTTCTGGACAAGAAAGAGGGTAAGCAGTTGAAATTTCATTCTAAAACTCATCTTTTTTTGTCTTTTCATGGCTTATGATCTGTCAAATTTGTAGTTTTTTTAATTGGTTTTGAGTGTTTATCTTAAAACTCAAGTTTCTTGGTTCTTTGCTCTTGGTGTAAATCGAATACATTTGTGGAATCGTTTAAATATGTTGGATTTTAAATATATTGGATTTTAAACTGTCATACAAATTTTTTTATCGATAGTCTGTAATTGAAACCATAACTCTTATTTATTCAAATTGTATTAATATGTAAAGACCAAGTGTAACATGTATCATCGTTAAATTTTATCTTATAAAACCAGTGGAACTTCAAAATCGTTAAAATTCATGGCTCTCGTCGCATTGCGCAGGTACACAACTAATATGTATATATATATATATATATATATATATATGTATGTATGCATGAAAATGAAGGTTTAGATATGTACACATCAACATTTACTATTCAAATCACGTGCAAGAATTTGGACCAAACATTGCTCATTAATTCCAAACATCAATTCAATTAGTTTACCATTTTGGATGAGACCAACAAGTCAGTCTAGCTAGTTGTCAATTGATTTGGTTAACCTTAACTTAAAGACTTCCAAACGAACACATTTCTACAAAATGAGTCAAATAAGAGGAAAACACAAGAAGTAAAGACCAAAACCTTCTTGTCAGTTCTTTGACTTTTTTAATTTTCGTATTAAACATATTTTTACGTAAAAATATTCAAAGCTGACATTTATTTGTTTGTTTATATTCACAATTAATTAGAGATTGTTGATCTTGCTTATATGGTATGCAGTTTTTAAATGTAGTAAGTTTTTCTAATTAAATTGAATTTTCTTTCCAGATTTGATAGAGACCTAAGATGGAGAACTGGAATGCAACTAATTCCAATAGTGTGTACGAGTTCAAATGATTTCAAGATCACCAAACAAGCACTTGAGTCTGCTTTTGAGAGTGCAGTTGAATCCAACATAAGAGTCAAAGGATTGATCATTGCAAATCCTTCAAATCCTCTTGGCACAACCATGGATAAAGAAACTTTAAAAACCCTGATGAGATTCATCAATAACAAGGGCATTCATCTAGTCTGTGATGAAATTTATGCGGCCACCGTCTTCAACGCACCTGGCTTCATCTCTATCTCAGAAGTCTTGCAAGAAATGGAGCAAGATCCCATGAACCAGATAAATCCCGAGTTGGTTCATATTATTTATAGCTTGTCGAAAGACATGGGGCTCCCAGGGTTTCGCGTTGGCATTCTATATTCATATAATGATGGTGTTGTGAGTTCTGCGAGAAAGATGTCAAGTTTTGGACTAATCTCCACGCAAACTCAACATTTTCTAGCTTCAATCCTTTCAGATGAAGTGTTTGTTGAGAGTTTTCTAAGCGAAAATTCAAAGAGGTTAGCTAAGCGGCATAAGGTTTTCACTCAAGGGCTTCAAGAAGATGGCATTACTTGTTTAGCAAGTAACGCAGCACTCTATGTTTGGATGGATTTACGAAGGCTTCTAAAGAAGCCTACATTTGATGAGGAAATGAAGCTATGGAGATTGATAATCAACGATGTTAAACTAAATGTCTCCCCTGGTTCTTCATTCCATTGTGTGGAACCAGGGTGGTTTAGGGTTTGCTTTGCAAATATGGATGAACAAACAGTCCAGGTTGCGCTAAACAGGATTCACATATTTGTTAAGAAGGGTAAAGAGAATGAGGAAATGGCAACAAAGAAGAAGAGAAACAAACCATGGTCAAAGGATCTTCGACTTAGTTTTTCCTCACGATTGTACGAAGAAACTAAGATGATGTCTCCTCGTATCATGTCTCCCCATTCTCCATTTGCTCTCTCACCATTGGTTCAAGCAAGAAACTAATTAACTAAAACCGGTGGATGGTTGCATGAGACTAAATTATACTCTTTCATTGAACTTTTTATATGTACCGTTTTCCAAGAAGCATATTGCTGGTAGTTAGGAAACAAGAGAGTAGAATTTTCAATCGTTATGGTGTTTTTCTAGATAAACTATTTGAACATTTTTTTGTTTGAAGTTAATGTCCCAAAATATGATAATTTCAAAGAACTACCATGACTTTTTTTTTAATTATATGGTTGTTTTCTATTGTAAATCCACAGGTGCAGTGCCGGCCCTGGCCATAGGCCCAAGGGGCGACGGCCCAGGGCAGCATAATGCCCAAGGGCATCAAAATTTAAAGCCCAATGTATATGTATAGATTCATTTTTTTATTTGGGCCCTCAAAATGTTACCGTTACCACAGCCCATTCCAATTTGTCCTGTCCGGCTATCCCTCGACCATCGTCTCCTCACTCTCACTCTCGCTCATGGTCACACACTCACGCCCTTCACAGTTCACTCTTGCTCTCGCCTGCGGCCTATCGGCTGTCGCTCACTCACGAAACTCACAACGAAACCGATTCAGTTCACCGTTCACGATTCACCATTCACGTTGACCTATCCGCTAATCGGCTCACTCACGGTCACATAACTCACTCCGTCGGCGTCTGCCTCTCTCCCTCTCCGTCTCTCGACTATCGACTTCGACGACTTGTGAGGTTAGGGACTTACTGACTTAGCCACTTAGGCTTATTACCGATTTACTTTACTTATTTTATTTTTTATGTTTCTAATTCTTGTTTGATTGTAAAACCTAATAGTGAAGTTGTGAAAATTGAAATTGGTCCTCTGTCGTTTGTTGTTATGTATCCGTCTTGATCAATTTTTTTGTAGCCATGGTACCTGACACCTTGACCAATTAGTCCATGATGTCCATGCAAACAACACTTCTTCCATATGGCCAAGACAAACCTTAGGCCTCCTAAAAAATTAAGATCTAATGCTTCATGAGATATCAGACCCCAAAAATGGAACCTAAACCAACCGGCCAACCCCTTGGGATTATCCATCTAAAAGTGTTAGATCAATCTAAACACAACACCACAAACATCATTCGTCCTTGCTTACTAAATCTAACCATTCTGGCTCCTGATTTGATTCAATTAACTAGGTTATCTTGTTGATATGTTAATTGACAAATCATTCAAATAAAATCTCTTTCAGTGATGGTCCAATGTTATGAATTTCTAGATGTATCATTCAGTCCACACCAATTTCAGATAAAGACTTCGTCTTGGATAGTAATATTTCAAGGATCAAATTTTTCATGCTTTTTTTATAATGTGGATGGCGTCAAGACATTAAAATTCTTTTAGATTTTGAAGCACTACCAAAATTACCCTCTTTTCCGGCGGATTTGTCCGCCAGAAAAAGGGCGCCGCTGATTTATTTTCCGTCGAGTTTTCCGGCGGATATTTTTCTTTTCCGGCGGATTACGGCCGCCGGAAATCTTTCACAGGAAAAATTAAGGAACTTGGTTTAACTTAATAAAAAAAATTAAAACTTTTTCCGGTGGATTTGTCCGCCGGAAATCCGCCAGAGTATTTTCTCGCCGAAAAAACTTAATTAAATAAGATTTTTAAATCCGCCGGACTATTTGTCTCGCCGAATCCGCCGGAAATCCGCCGGTAACGTTTTTTTTAATTTAAATAAGATTTTTTTTAAAAAATTAAAAAAAAATTACCGGCGGCCGGATCCGCTGGAAATCCGCAGGTAATGTTTTTTCTTTTTTTTAATTTAAATAAGATTTTCAAAAAAAATTTAAAAAAATGTTACCGGCGGCCTCTTCCGCCGGAAATCCGCCGGAAAAAGAATTTTATTTTAATTTTTTTTTATTTTTTCAATAAATATTTAAATCCTGTAAATCTGTAAAAATATGGATAAAACTAAAAAATTAAAATGCAACCAAACATCATACATTGATTAAAGTAAACAATTGTTACAAAACATATACAATTTAAAGTATCACACAATGTTACAAACAAATTAAATTGTTCCAAATACGGTCCCTTAAAACAAATACGATCATTAAGGCCCAATACGGTCCGTTAAAGCTCAATAAGATTCAATAATGTCCAATACGATCCATTAAGGCTCAATACGGTCTGTTAATCCAATACGATTCATTAATGAACAATACGATCCATTAAAGCCCAATACGGATCCGTTAATTTTTTTAAAAAATTTTCCGCCGGAAATCCGCCGGTAAAGATTATAAGGGTTTTTTTAATTATTTTTCTAAAACATTTTCCGGCAGATTTATTTTTTAATTTTTTTAAAAAATTCTCCGCCGGAAATCCGCCGGAAAAGATTAAAAGGGTTTTTTTTATTTTTTAAAAAATTATTTTTCCAAAACTTCTTCCGGCGAATTTCCGGCGGATTTATTTATTTATTTTTTTAAAATTTTCCGCCGGAAATCCGCCGGAAAATATTAAAAGGGTTTTTTTTATTTTTTAAAAATTATTTTTCTAAAAATTTTTCCGGCGGATTTATTTTTTAAATTTTTTTTAAAAAATTTCCGCCGGAAATCCGCCTGAAAAGATTAAAAGGGTTTTTTTATTTTTTAAAAATTATTTTTCTAAAATTTTTTCCGGCGGATTTCCGGCGGAAATTTTAAAAAAAAAATTTAAAAATAAATCCGCCGGAATTTTTGTTTTTTAATTTTTTTTACTTATTAATTAATTTTTAAAGATTAATTAACATTTAATTAACAATTTCGCCGGAAATATAACCGGTTTAATATTTCCGGCGGATTTCCGGCGGAAGTCAATAAAAATTGACTTTTTTGACTTCTGCCGGAAATTATCCGCCGGAAATGCCCAGTTTTCTAGTAGTGAAATAGACATCAGAACATTCTTTGAACATTTAAGCAAAGCAACCAGATAGTTGATTATACAGAATAGAGAAAGGCAAATGCTATACGGATTGCAATTTAGAAAGGAAAGAAAAATCGTTTATGGTTGTGCACTTTGGTTAATACTGCCCAGAAAATCAATTATATTTACAATTTTCCTTGAATTGTTCTTCATTCTCACTTCTCAGTATCAACAATTATACCATATATGTGAGGCTTATCATGTTAACTATTAGTCACTGCTAACTACTTTTAGCAATTCGCTGTTGAAGAACAACCTACCTCACGCTACAATCCTGTGACTGTTGGTTCCCTTACGCTATCTTTGACGGAAGCTTACAACCAATGGAAAACAGTTAATTCCGACTCCAAACAGAGGTAGAAAGTCTCTCTTTTTGCAGTAGTATAATCTAGTAAATTTTTTGTTTCTAGAAAACGTATGCCTCACAGAAAGTGTCCTATGACACTTTTGAGAAAGTGTCCTATAAACTCAATTTTTTATAGGACATTTGTTTTTATAGGACAATTTTTCAAATAATGTCTTATAAAGTTGATAATGGGGCGTTTTATAATAAAAATGTCCTAAAAAATTTATTACGACATCAAAAAACGTCATATAAACTTATTACAACACCTTTAGAGATAGGACATTTTATTTTTTCTGGTCCTATAAATTAGGTCCTATAAAGAGGTTTATTAGGACACTTATAATTTGAGTGTCCTATAAACCCGATTTTGTTGTAGTGAATAAACTTTAATGAATTATAAACTATAAGAATGAAAACTAAAATTTTAAAACCACAAGGACGAAAATAGAAATTTTCAATAAACTACAAGAACTAAAAACGTAATTTACAGTATTCTTTGTGAATTCAAGGAAAGAGTTGTCAAAGTAGTTTATTAATTTAAAATCATAAAAACATCTTCAACAATTTCTCTAAAATAAAGAAAATAGAGATTTTGAGTTAATATTTTACTTTAACAGCTTCCTTAAAGCTATCTTCAAAATAAAGAAGTATGAGTGAGAAGAATTTTTTTCTCTAAATATAGAGAACGCTTCAAAAATATTACCAAGTGAGAACACTAATAAGAAACTTTGAAAATAAATTTTGCAGAGAGAGAAATAATAGTAAAATGAAATATTTTAATATTATAATAAAGGGTTAAATGCATGAAATAGCAACATACTTTCATAAAATTTCTTATTATAGCATTCTACTTTTGTTTTTCTTTGTTACAACAATGTACTTTCAAATTATTTTTTATTAAGGCATTGTACTTTAAAAAATCTACCCATAATAGCAATGG